TCATTTTTTTAAAAACCAAAGTTCAAAATCTTAATACAACTTTGTCTGGAAAGCAAATTAAGCAATTTTGGAGGAAATATTTTGTTGGGGACCTTCAAAATTGAAAAACCAATATGTTGATCCACTACATCTCGCATACGCTAGTACAAGATGCATTTCCCTATCTGCGTTAATTTTTTTTAGTATGCAACCCTTCTAGCTATATTCCATCATGAGAAATCAACAGTGATGTTGGTTGCATTATAAGATCTTTTCTCGGCATTAGGGGGAGATTTGAAATTTCTAATTAATGAAATGCCGAGAAATTGATAAAAATCTTCAAACCCATGTACTAGCCTTATAGAACCAGAAGTTCAGACATTGAACAAATTATCTGCTAGAAATCTCAAAGAGTGACTAAGTCCATAGAAAATATTTCATATATATTAAGAGTTGAAATCCCCAACTAGGACTAAATATTTCTACCATTATGCAGGAAGCATATATTGGTTTAAGAATTTACAAAACTAGATCTAGTATAGAAATTTCGTCACTCCAGAAATATAGAAATTTCGTCTAGAAGGCGAAAACCCCCAGTAAAATTATAGGTGCACCAAACAACTAAAATACTGGGGAAGCGGAACAACCAAATTCAAATAATTTTGGAAAATGCCATATTTTTGGTTGATACAAAATGGCCATGTGTATAAAAGATATTTACAAAGCTGTTATAGTTGTCGACAACATTTTTTTTGCCTCTATTGCTCATAAATACTTAAATCTGGATCCAGAAATGAAAACAGTAGCATAACGTCTGCAGCGTGCTAACTGTTTTGATAGAAAAGAGCAATTAAGGCATACAAATCAAAACTCGCTAATAAAAGGCGAGTTGAGGGTTTTCGCAGAGACCCAATATTAGTCATGGCTTTATATTCCGCTATTCAATAAAACTAGCAGTAAATAAATTAGATATGTAGCTAATAGGTATAGTTATCACATATTTATATGGATAACTTGTTACTTATATTTAAAATCCTGGATGGATTTTCTCAAAATGTGATGAATGAAAATCACAAAATAAGAAGTATAAAAGTTAGTAAGTTACTAACTATGATCTTTCTTATAGTCAATAAATTGACTAAAGGTATTTTCTCCCCCATAACGAATTATTAAAACATATTATCATAAACATGCCTAGTAATGTTATATGTGATTAGGAAACTTAAATATTGTTTCCTCTTGAAAATATCCTAAATATATCCTCTAGTTCATCTTGAAAAATCCCTAATGGATTTATAATTCCCAAAATGAAGATTTATTTAAGTGTCATTATTTACTCTTTAAAGAGTTGCGAATGAGGTTATTATCCTCATATAGAAGGAATAATATGTACCATTATGTGCTCAATAAAGAGTTGATAATGGACTTATTTATTATCTCAGTCAATATTTATGGTGTAAACATCAATGAAATATATAAATAGCTTGATGATGTTAAGTTATGAGATAAAATAACGAATAGTAAATCAAGGTACAAATACTCGTATTGATGCTTTTTGGCATGAAGTCATCATACTTGTTACAGATAAAAACGTATATAGTTTTTCATGATATAAAATACCTTGATCCACATGAACTCCAGAAGAGTGATAAAATATTTGTTCAGAAGGTTTGCTCCATTGACAAGTTAGCAAATATATACCTACAAAATATCCATAAGATTGATATGTGTAGATAAAGAAAAATTATTATATTTAGGGGGAGCAACAAAATATAAACTATAAATAATTTTATTGGTCCAGATAATCATGAGAAAATATGATAAATTCTAATGACAATCCTGAAAATTGTACCATATCCCTTCTCTACACCATTTAGAAACAATGATTTTACAGGCAATGTAGAATTTGAAGATTGTTATCTTCAGGGGGAGACAGGAAGTACATTCACTCGAGTCAATCCCGTAGATTGGGTCTTAAAAAGACTAATAGTTGCACTTTTTGCAACGTATATATTTAATTGAGTCAATCCTGTAGATTGGGTCTTAAAATGACCAATAGTTATACTTTTTTGCAGCATATACATACCATGTGGTTTTTAATGAGGTATGAGTATGATATATTAATGGGGAAGTTGTATATAAATACTTAAGTAAACAAACCCCAAATATCTTGAAGATTATGCCTTGAAGGCTTATAATTGTGCTCTTTTTCCCCTTAACTAAGTTTTTTCCAAGAGGTTTTCTTAAGTTAAGGTTTTTAACGAGGCAATCAGTACAATATATGAGTTTACAAATATCATGTACTCTTTTCTTCAAACTAGGTTTTTCCCATGTGGTTTTCCTAGTGAAGTTTTTAACGAGGCATGAATATATTTAAATATACTTATATCTTGTACTCTTTTCTTGTATAGGTTTTTCCCACAGGGTTTTCCTAGCAAGTTTTTAACGAGGCAAGATCATGGGCAAATAATGTCCAAGGGGGAGTGTTGTAATTAAATATTAATGGTGGCCATTATTTTGTAACGTTTGTAACAGACATATTAATGTCTCATTATGTATGCCATTATTATTCTATATTATATATGTGTGTAATCCTTTTGTAAGAGGACGTCATGGAAATGAAATCATATCACTCCCTTCTCTTTGTCTATTACTTCTTATTTTTGATTCAATCCTGAAACTCTCCGGTTAGGAGCTATAGGTCAACGGGCACAAACAACAACATTACAACAAGAGTGATGTTTTTTGTCATTATTATTATTGTCTACTTTGATTTGTCATTCTGTGAAATTCTATCAAAGTACAATCAAATATCTTCATTTTTTGAATTTAAATTTTTATTTACAATGATATTATTGAACCAATCGTTATGCTATGGACCCGTGTCGAGCATGCATGCTGGACACGGGTAACAGTGCCGTTAGTGGTACTATTATCTTTTTTTTTTTTTTTTTTTTTTTTTTAAATTTCAGACCGCTTCGTTATAGGAGTATATGTTCATAATTTTATTACTATATGTTCATAATTGTAAGTTCATAATGTCATAGCTCTATGTTCATAATTTCATAACTGTACATTCATACTTCCATAACTGTACATTCATAATTCCGTAACTGTACATCCATAATTCAATAACTGTAACTTCATAAATTTCGAAGCTCTATGTTCATAATTTTATCACTATATGTTAATATTGTAAGTTCATAATGTCAGAGCTCTGTGTTCATAATTTCATAACTGTACATTCATAATTGCATAACTGTACATTCATAATTACATAACTGTACATTCATAATTCCGTAACTGTACATTCATAATTCAATAACTGTAAAATCATAATTTTCGAAGCTCCATGTTCACAATTTTAGAGCTCTATGTTCATAATTTTATCACTATATGTTCATAATTGTAAGTTCATAATGTCAGAGCTCTGTGTTCATAATTTTATAACTTACATTCATAATTCCATAACTGTACATTCATAATGGCACAAATGAATAACGTCGTTAACGGCGAGACAAAATCAATTTTTTTTAAAAAAACTGGAATGACGCATTTTCCCTAAAAACGACGTCGTTTTGGACTCGTGTCCGTAATGCATTGTGGACACGGGTCGAGGGCATAATTTGCGTTATTGAAACATATAGGATTCAATTACTAATCGAAAAAATATTATCTATTGTTTTGAAAAATAAAAAATAGAAAACATATTTACTTTTATGGGTTGTTTGGTTCACGGAATATGCCTGAAATAACATAGCATTCCTAGCCATATGCCTATTCCTCTGTTTGGTAACCACTTGTATTCATAGGAACATTGTTCCCGGGAATGACCTATTCCCCTTGCAAGGGCAAGGGGAATAGAGATTCTTGGCCCACCCTGGTATAGGCTAAAGTTTCTATTTCCTATTTTACCCCCCAATTAAATTTATTTCCTATTTCACCGCCACCACCACCACCACCATCGCCACCGCCGTCGTCGTCACTGCAGCCACCACCCCACCACCGCCATCGCCCATCACCGCCGCCGCCACCACCACCATCGTCACCATCACATATTTTTATAAGGGTATTTATGTTTTTTAAAACATACTTCATTTCTATTCCTTAAATCAACCAAACACTGTAATATAATTCCAAAAGTCTATTCCTTCCGCGAACCAAACAATAGAATACAATTCATATTCCATTCCTTGTCTATTCCATTCTTTATGGAATAACATTCCTATTACCTCAAAATTCATTCCGTGAACTAAACGTGATGTTATAGTTTTTCATTTTAAAATGTGAATTTCTTTTCTTCTAATTTTTTATAAAAATTAAATACAAAAAATGCACATAAATTTATCTGTAATTCCAATTTTCATTATCTACAAACTTCTATTTCACCTAACACCTACCTACCTAATATGAATCAAAATCATACTATTATGGTATACATATGAAATTTATACCAAATACTAGTATTGTTACAATTAATGTTTTGAATTTTAATCCAATCAATATATCTTGAAAAAACTATTTTAAATCATGTTTGATAATTGTTGGAATTTAAATTATTCCAAACTCAACGTGACAACAAGTTTCAATTTATAAAATTTGATATTATTATACACATATCAAAGTTACAAACTTAATTAGACAGAAACTTCGTGTGATTGCCATCATATCAATTTTTAACATGTTCTTATTTGAAGAGTAGATGGATAAATATATATGTGGATAGATATTTATTGGTTGTTCTCGAATTGACCGACTCTATTACAAATTAAAATATTAATCTATGAATTAATAGATACAAAATGAACCAATTATGTATCTAGTACCGGAAATTAAACAATTCATTTAATTGCAAAAATTCTCTCTCTAGGGTAAAACTAGGGTTTCGGAATTCTCTCTAGGGAAACCTAGTTTTTTTGTCTTTTCCGATCGTTTCTACGGCAAGAGCTGTCGGTTTCCAGTGGCGAGGAGTGTGCTGGCTGTTACTGACGTGAAGCATGGCAGACGGAAGCGCGGCAGACATGGCGGGGGAGAACAGCGACGTCGAACGGTTGACAGCACGGTGGGAGGGGTTTGATTTGGAGGATGAGCAGGATGAGTTCGTGCCGGAGGGGGTTGGAGTCGGGGAACTCCAGGTTGATGATGAGGAGACATGGGCTGTTGTTGGCAGGTTCCTAACTACGAAGCTGGTAAAATTGGAATTTATGAAGCAAGTTATGGCATCCGTATGGCAACCGGTGAGGGGGGTGCAGGTTACGGAGATTCAACCGGGACTTTTCTTGTTTGTCTTTTATCATAGGACGGACATAGATTACGTCTTGGATGGGGGTCCATGGGGTTTCGAGAATAATACTTTGGTTTGCCGTGAGGTGGTGGCCGGAGTAGTACTGGGGGAGGTGGATCTGAATACAATTGATATGTGGGTTCAGTTGCATGGATTGCCGATGGGATATACGTCGGATACAGTACTTGAGCAGGCAAGGAATTTTATGGGCAAGTTTGTGAAACATGATGAGAGGTTCGTGGGGGCACCATGGCTTACATTCTACCGAGTCCGTGTAGCTATTGCGGTTGGGAAGCCGTTGAGGAGTGGTATGAAGTTGGTGAAACGGGATAAATCGGTAAGTTGGATAACTTTTCGGTATGAGCGGCTGCACAAACATTGTTCGTTTTGTGGGATGTTGGGTCATGTTCACATGTTCTGTCTGAAAGCACGTGAGAGGCCTACGCCGGTTGAGATGCACCCGTTTCTAGGGTTGCGGGCCGGGGGGAGTAGGGGGGCACCAAGGGCGGTGGGGGAGAATTGACTAGTGCCGGTTGGGGGGAAACCAAAACCAAGGGTGAGGGAGGAGGCGGGGGAGGGTGTGGAAGGTGGCAGTGTATGGGGGCGGGAAGAGGGGGAAATAAGGGAGGGAAGTATGGGGGTTGGGGAGAGGGTGGAGGGAGTGGTGGCAAATGTCAAGCGCTGCCGGGGTGTTGAAGGAGAGGATGTGGCTATGACCAATGTGTCAAAAAACTTGCTAGTGCCGGGAATTGGAGCCCAGTCCCGCCCATCATCATGAGTACGATAAGTTGGAACTGTCGTGGCTTGGGCAATCCACGTACAGTTCGAGAGATTGTGGACCTTGTGTCCGGGAAGAAGCCTGACTTTGTATTTCTAATGGAAACAATGGTGAAACGAGATCATGCGGAGAGACTGCGGGTGAGGATAGGTTTTGAAGGTTTGTTCTATGTGGATAGTGTGAGGAATGGTGGGGGACTGGCTTTGTTGTGGAGGAGGAATAATACAGCTACACTACTGGGCTATTCGAAAAACCATGTGGATATTGAGGTCCGTATGTCATCAGGAGAGACATGGCGTATGACGTATTTCTATGGCTTCCTAAAAGTAGTCAAAGGAGAGAATCATGGGAGTTGCTTAAATCTTTGGTGGGGAAATCTCCGCTTCCGTGGGTTGTAATAGGGGATTTTAATGATCTCTTATTCCAGCATGAGAAAAGGGGAACCAATCCACATCCAGATAACTTTCTCCGGGGTTTCAGTGAAGCTGTGGATGACTGTGGATTGCGTCAGTTACCTATGAGGGGGTATCAGTTCACATGGGAAAAGTATAGTGGAACAGATCAATGGCTAGAGGAGAGACTAGATAAGGTACTGGCAACGATGGAGTGGTGTGATGTGCATGGAGGGGCGGGTGTGGAGAATATAATTACTAGTAACTCGGATCATTCGGCTCTGTTTCTTGATATGAATGCACGAAAAAGGGGAGGAGGAAGGATTCCTAGGAGGTTCAGGTTTGAGATGGCATGGCTGCTTGATGAGGGGTGTAGAGAAGTGGTGGAAACTGCCTGGCAAGGGGGGAGGACAGAGGGGTTGTTGAATTGTCAGCAACGATGTGGGGATAGACTGATGCGCTGGGGCGGTGACCATTTTCATAAGTTTGGTGAGCATATCCGGCGACTCCGCAGGGAGCAGGGGCGGATCCGTGGTAGGAGGGATCCGGCATCTTTGGCTCAGTTCCAGCTGTTGAATAACCAGATCTCCCAGTTAGAAGCCCAGGAAGATGTCTTTTGGAGGCAGAGAGCGAAGCAGCATTGGCTTCGTAGCGCAGATGTGAATACGAAATATTATCACAGGTATGCTTCTGCTAGAAAGAAAAAGAATTCTGTTTCTAAGCTGTTGAATGAGAATGGGGTATGGGTGGAGGGACAGGATATGAATAATGTAGTAATTAATTATTTCAATACAATTTTTGCTACTAGTAATCCTGTGTGTGAGGATTCTTTATTTGATGAGTTTGGGCCCCGTGTGACAACTGACCAGAATGAGGCATTGTTGTGTCCCTATGATGTGGCCGAGGTCAAAACTGCTTTATTTGCCATGTATCCTGACAAGGCACCGGGACCGGATGGGATGAATCCTGGATTTTATCAGTGGTTTTGGGATATAGTTGGAGAAGATGTGTCTACTTTTGCTGTTAATTGTTTGAATTCAGGTGAAATCCCGGGTGATTTAAATGCAACTAATATTGTTTTGATCCCGAAAAAGAATGATCCTACAACTGTGGCGGATTTGAGGCCTATTGCCCTGAGTAATGTATTGTACAGGATTATGGCAAAAATGATCGCCAACAGATTGAAACCTATGCTGGGGGATCTGATTTCAGAATCTCAGAGTGCCTTCATCCCAGGTAGGCTTATAACGGATAATATACTTGTGGCGGCAGAGGTGGGCCACTTTTTGAATCGTAAACAGTGTGGAGTTGCTGGGTGGGGAGCGCTTAAATTGGATATGGCGAAAGCCTATGATAGAATGGAGTGGCCATTCTTGAAAAGAATGCTGGAAGTAATGGGTTTTGATGGAAGGTGGGTTAAGCTGATAATGACATGTGTTACCACTGTATCATACACTGTGATGGTCAATGGCGTGAGTGGAGGCCATGTGCAACCAACAAGGGGTCTCAGACAAGGAGATCCACTTTCACCTTTCTTATTTATTATTTGTGCTGAAGGTTTATCCATGCTTTTGCAGAAAGAGCAGGCAGTAGGATCTATTCACGGTTGTAGAGTGGCTAGGGGAGCCCTCCCAATATCACACCTATTTTTTGCTGATGATAGTTTGTTGTTTTTTAAAGCAAATGTCCAGGAAGCTATGGTGGTTAAGCGGTGTTTGGAGAGGTATGGGGAATTATCTGGTCAGTTGGTAAACTATAGTAAATCTAATATATGCTATAGTAAGAATACTGCGGAACAGATGAGAGAGGAGGTGGCCGAATGTTTGGGCGTGGAACAGGCAAGGAACTTTGGAAAATATCTGGGGTTACCCTCTTTTATAGGGAAAAATAAAAGGGTTGTTTTCTCTTATATAGAAGATAAAATCAGACAAAGAGTTTTCTCGTGGAACAAGAAATTGTTATCACAGGCTGGCAAAGAGGTGCTTTTGAAAAGTGTGGATCAGTCTATGCCTACATTTTCAATGAGTGTTTTTTTTTCTCCCTGAATCAGTTTGCGAGTCGGTACAAAGGGCCATGAATAGGTATTGGTGGGGGAAAGGGCCAGACAGAGGAATCCACTGGAAAGCATGGAAGAAATTGTGTATCCCTAAGAAGTTTGGTGGATTGGGGTTTAAAGATCTGAGGAATTTTAATCTGGCAATGTTGGGTAAACAGGCATGGCGTTTCTTAACAAATCCAGGATCTCTGCCAGCACGAATATATAAAGCAAGATATTTCCCTAAAACTTCTTTTGTTGATGCAACGATGGGAAATAATCCCAGTTTTTGTTGGCGAAGTATTATGGCTGCTCATGATTTTGTTATTGCCCACGTCCGCAGGAGAATTGGAAATGGCCAGGAGACTTTGATATGGGGTCATCCGTGGTTGCAGGATAATCCTAGTCCACTGGTTCAAACAGTAATGCCTGAACCATTAAGGGATGCAGTTGTTGCAGGTTTAATAGACCAGCAAACAAAAACATGGGATCCTCATATTTTAACAGATTTATTTGAACCTGAGGATGTGGATCGTATTTTGAGAATACCTGTGAGCCCAGACTATAAAGACACATGGTATTGGCATAATGATGCGAATGGTTGCTACACTGTAAAAGATGCTTATAGGCGTCTAATGGGAGAATTTAATCACACCTTGGGAGAATTTGATAGATGGATTACATTGTGGAAGTTGAAAGTCTCCCCTAAGTGGAAAACTTTTTTTATGGAGAGCGGTGTGTGATATACTCCCAACCACAGCAAATTTGATTATAAAGAGGGTAGATGTGAACCCAACATGCATGTTGTGTGGTCTTACAAATGAGAATGTTATGCACTCATTAGTTTTATGTGATTATTCTAGAGCCGTATGGAATATTTCGGGATTGCCTATTATGAATATTTATTCAACATCTTTCCCGAACTGGCTTATGACTGTTATGGATATGCTCACAGGAGAACAGGTCAGACGCGTTGTGGGGGTCCTCTATTTTTTATGGATGGCCAGAAACGAGGCGGTCTGGCAACATGCGGTACGGAGGCCGGAGGTGGTGTGGTGCCGTGCAGCTGCGGGGGAGGCGAGCTACACGGCACTTCATTCTCGTCCAGAAGCGGCACCGGCCGGCGAGGTGCAGACAGTGGCAGCCGGGCGGACGACGTGCTACGTCGATGCCGGATACGATCCGGGGACGGGAAATGCAACCTATGGGGCGGTCTTACTCGATCCGAATGGTTTGTTCAAAGCAGCGGCAAGCGGAAAACTCCCGGGGTGTTTAACTCCTCTTATGGCAGAAGCACTAGCATGCAAGGAAGCCTTGTCCTGGCTTAAAGACCGAACGAGAACGAGGTCGATATTCTTACGGATTGTCTTGTCTTCAGGAATGCGGTTCATGCAGTAACTACACCGAACTTATCTTATGTTGGAATTGTGATTGAGCAGTGCAGGATAGCTATTAATAGTTTCGTTTTTTGTTCGCTTAGTTTTATTCCAAGAACTCTAAATTTACATGCGCATACTCTTGCTAGATTAGCCCATGATCAGGATCATTCTATGTACTGGGATTTAATCCCTCCTGATTCTATCATTCAATTTTTGAATTAATATACTGGTACGCCATATTTCAAAAATGTATCTAGTACCGCATAATAAAGATGTGTATATTAAAAGATAAATTTAATAGGATATTGTAGTATCAATATCATATTCTAGAAATATTAGATAAAGGTGCATGTTAATCTTGTAATTCAGGAGATTTGGATACAACCATTTATGGATAATTTATGAAGGCTCAAAAAGAAGTAGTAATTGAATGGAGAATCCATCCTAATAATTAATTACTATTTAGGAATTTAATTTATTTGTTTTAAATGAACAAAAAAAAAAAAAAAAAAAAAAAACTGGTTCAAACTCTCAATGGAAACAAATTACTGGCACCAAATTGCTCCTTTATGTTGGAGGTTGTGGATTCAATCCTCAATGGAGGTGGACTATTGGCTCTTTGTGCTTCCGTATATTGAGAAAGTAGTTATGAACAAATACTACTATCATACTACATTGTAAATTTGTAACAGAGTCAATACTCAATAGTGCTCAAAAAACACTATTTTATAATTTTTCTATGTGAGAATGAAAATTAAATAAGTAAAAAATTAAATTAAAAGATTAATTACCTTTCAAAAAAAATTAAAAGATTAATTTGGAAATTTTAAAATAAATTAAAACAATAAAGTTCAAATGTAAACTAGCGAAAATGGTAAAATTGTAATTGTCACAAAAGAAAATAGGAGAATTGATATTAGACAATTTTGAAGACAGATA